TCTAATATTATTAATATTCTAATTTATAAATACTTATTGTTATAGTTTATCGTTCGTAAGAAATTGAAGAAATCGTTTTCTGAACCTAAAAGTAAATGCGTTTGACACTGAACAAAGAACTTTAAATTAATTTCGTACCTGTCGTACTTCGGACATCAAAGTTTCTTTCTGCAAATCGATTACAGTTTGCCGAAATAAAATTATGCCATAGTTTATTCAAATCTTTATAACAAGACAATCAGTTTTATACCTTTATTGTTGTTAAATCATTACATAGCATAAAATGAAGTCGCTTTTTTGTCTTATACGCTTAGATCTTTAAAGCTAAGCAACGAATTTAATGTGTTTTTCAACAATAGAGACAGTAATTCAAGAGGTAGGTTTATATGTATAATACATGCATATTGTAGAAGAGAAAATCCGAGAACTTAAAAGATTTGTAGTAAAAAATACTTTTTTTGCGCTTACATTGCAAACGCTGACTAGAGCTTACGAGATAATTCCGTAGTACATTATTTTTAAGATATACAATTGTATATCTTAAAATATATCTCCTAAGGATAACCCAATTTTTAACAATTTTTTACTTTTTAAAGATTTCAAAAACTAATGTGTAATTTACGAGGTTATTTTGAACAATACACTATTATTCCTTGTGTAAATAAATAAGTTAGATACATTGTGCATGTAATGTGGATCAAAATTGCTCTTTAAAGCATATCATTAAATTACATATCTTAGTAGATATCAGAGATTTAAAATGTCACTGCGTGGTGCCGTACGTCCATCCCGCGTGGCAGCAGCAGACAGGAGCGGATCGGGCCTATAAATTTTTCATTTATAAATATGTTCTGTATTATAGTTCTATCGTAACAATGGTATAATTAATTACTGGACACTGACACCACATTAGTAGCATTAATAGTATCTATATTGTACCTGTGCGAAGCCGGGGCGGATCGCTAATAGACTATAATTATTAGGGGGATCTGATTATTAGGTCCGAGTGGAGATCATTCTCCCGGGCCCTTTCCGCCGCCACCTTCTGCGAGATTACGTCTTTGCAGAAGGATTGGACCGCGGTAAGACAACTATCACTACCGGCCATGGAGCGTATGACGGCCGGTATCGAGAGATCTACTCCGATGACTGCAGTGAGGAACTGTCGCTGCGACGGCCATTAAAATTTTTTTGGATGAAGTTGTTTAATAACCCTTTTTATAATGTCATTTTATAGTATCTTATGAGAAGCAAAACAGCTAGATTATACCACAATTTAATTGTCAATAGAATTTTAGTTACGGTGATGGTAGCTAGCAGACTCCGGCATTACTATTTTATCGAATAATCTCCTGAAAACTACATACAATACTACCTAAATTTGATTACATAACAAATAGGGTAGGTCATCAACAAAGAAGGGATATTTTCACAAATGATTTATGAGAAATATATGCTAAAATACACGGCCAATATCGCGACACGGTTCACAAATCTGTCTTAAATAATCGCTGTAATATATTTCGTAGGCTCAGAATTTCCTTATAAAAATTTCTTAGTAGATATCGTACTTCTGCGTGTATTGCCCGACTGTTGCTCAAAAGGAGAGTTGTAAGTTTGATCTGCATGCACACTACCATCAATAATTTTGTTTGCTTTTAAACTAATTAAGCCCGCACTAGGAATATATCCTGTGTCGTTGGGGGTTTTATAAATATTAATGAAACTGACACAAAGAACACCCATACTCAGAACACAATTTGTTGATCACACAAAGTGTTGTCCTATGTAGGGATCGGACCCTCAATACTCAGCGCAGTAGGAAGTGGCGAGGTGACCGCTACGCTATCCGTGCAGTCGAAATGATAAGTTTGGCAACCTTTAAATCTATTTCGAAGACATATTGAACATACTGAACGATATAGTTAAGATATATTTTTACACTACGTTAGCTTCAATACACCTAGACTACCCACTGTTTCTTCTTATATACTGTCGATTTGTCCATCCAAAGTTTGCCTGAAAGAGATTGCTATTAGAAATAAGCCCGCCCATTGTACATATCTATCGAAATATTTAACCAACTTACTGTAATTGGAGGCAAAGAGAGAGAGAGAGTTTGACTATCCGGCAATAGCCAATAGATCTCTAAACTGCTCGAGCTATTCCTTAAACTCACTGGTATTACTTTTTCTACCTTTGCTTCCTCTTTTTATCTACCTTTTAATTAAATTTAATCATAAATAATAACTTGGCACAACGTGCACGCTGGCGTTTGATCTCAATTCAGGCAAAATCTGTGCCGTATAAATAATAAATCAGTATTTTAATACAAAACAATCAGTTTTTCCATATATTCACATATTATTTATTGGCACAGGCACAGAACTAATGGTCGTGCTGATCATACAACTGTTTATCATAGGTGTAAAACGAACCTCGACCCGAGACAGACGACACTCCGGTGCGGCCGGGGGGTTTTGTACATGGTGGGGTGCTGTTGCGCCTCCTACTGTATAGAGTAGTGAAAGGCGCGGCAGCCTCCCGCCCTAGGGTGACTACAGTCACCCCGGGATGTGCCTCACACATGGGGTACGGCAGGGAGGACTCCAGAAGCCGCCGATGCGTTCCTGGAGCTCCTCCTGACTGCCGAGGTAGGCCGCCGCGGGGTTTAGTGGGTAGACCGGTTCTCCGGGAGTCCCACACAAGCCCTGCGTTTCCCCGCGTTAAAAAAAAAAGGTGTAAATCGAACCTAGGACCTCTGGCATTATTTTTATGGGACTCATCACTCCCACTCGCCCACCACTGTAACTCCTGTACACCAGGATCAACAGTAACCCTAGGAACACACGAGTAATGACACTCGTTAAGTTCCAAAAAAATTAAACTGTCTTGGAACCCGCAACGAAATTAATCAGAAGAAAATTGGAGGAGTTGGAAATACAGTAAATCCACTTCCGTCCTTAAAACGGGAGACAAAATGAAGTAAAATAGGCATACATCCGTTTAAACAGGGAAGCACCACGACCACAAAATATTATGTCCTAAGTGAGCTATATTTGATTTCTACAATATGTATGGCAGAATCGCCGAAACGCTCGGGAATTCACCATAGTTGACAAAAGATCCCCATAGTATACCGCCCCAGATGCGCCGTAAGCTATTCAGCATTATATTATGTTCATTATTTACTTCATTCATTAGTTACTTAGCAGTCACGATTACTAGTCACTGAACCTACTGTTATATTTTACCTGTTAAAACAGCATTGGAATAGTTTAACATCGGTAAAATCATTCCCCTGTGTAACAAACATATGTTAAACATTTTTCGTAAAAATTATACGATATCCCTAGGGCCCGGATGTGCCAGCACCGGTCATAACAATAAATAACAGAGGTCCAAGGAAATCCAAGATATGTAGACCTATTTTCTGTGGAATAAACCTTGCAGAGTATACTGCCTTCAGAGAAATATATATCTTGGTGCAAGCCAGGAACCTAAATTAAGGAAGCTAATAGAAAATGTTGCCGGGATTGTTTATGGTACGAAAAGTACTTTTATGTGTTATTTATGTAAAATATGATGCGAGAATGTGTAGTTTTAGAAATATGTGCAGCTGTATATAATATTAAATTTGTTTGCGAGCTGACTCGTGAAAAATATAAAAATAATGTGACACGATTAAGAGTTTTGAATTCTGTATACATTTTTAATTTACGTATGTTTTATTTAACATTTTTGAGACAAAGTTATTTGTGATATAGAGAGAGAGAGAGAGAGATAGAGAGAGATATATATAGAGAGAGAGCTTTCGCCTTTTGTTTAGGCGTGAAGCGTAACAAACAACCAAACAAACTCACTTCCACATTTATAAATAGCTTGCTTTTGCCCGCGGCTCGGCCCGCATGCTAGTCGGTTATCGGGGTAAAAAATAGTCTAGGTTACTCGCTGATAATGTAGCTTTATATTGAATTTTTAAAATCGGTTAAGTGGTTTAGGCATGAAAGCGTAAGAAACAAACAAACTCGTTACATTTATAACAAAATTATTACATTTTGGATCTATGAATAGTATAACCAAATCTAGGAGTAATAAACGGCTTTGTGTTAACCAGCTTTAATCAAGAATATTATTAAATGCATTTAAACAAAAATTTGTTAGTTTATTTTATTTTTACTGTATTTATCATGGGTCAATTTATATATTACTGCCTTCAAACAGAAGGAGGTTCTCGAATCATGTTTTGTGTGTATTTTACACGATATCTTTGCTATTTGAGAATTGATTTTCACGATTTTTTTTAATGGTTAGTACTCACGGTTGGTTCCATGTTCATCTAAAGAAAATATTCTCTCTCTAAGCTTAGAAAATTTAGGGATGAAACGTAACTTACGCGCTCATAGAAAAAGAAACTAAATGTTCAAATGATACTTAAATCAACATGGCGCCCTATCCTAAGTTTTATTGCCAGCACAAAACTAATGTTGCCATACTAAATATTTATTAAGGTATTTTAATAAATAATATGAGTTTTGAAATCAATGTTTTTTTTTGCATAAATATGGCACATGGCCTGTTTATAGTTATTATAAGAGAATCACATATTTCGTCAGTCTGTTCTGACATGCAAAATTTTAAACGTACATGCATATTATAACAACAGATTGATTTAATAACAAACTACTAAGCTCATGTCAATAAACAATTTACATAATGTCAAATATTTAATTGCAATGTCAAATTTTTCAATCCGATAATTTGTTTCTAATATAGAACACAACATACAATAAAATATTATCAGGTGTTTTTGTAATTATCATTTAGCTCATTTAGGTATTCAGTTACTGAGTATTTCATTTTTTCCAAATGCTATATTTTCAATTTCCTTTTAAATTTCAGTAGTGTTTCACACTACCACAGTGTTAAACTAGAAATATTTTTGAGACACATGTAATATTACCTGTACAAACTTCAATAATATCGACTTAGTCTATTACTCACTGAGGTTCATGTTCCGTCAACAATTCTTCAAAATGTAGTTTCAGCGTGTGCGCAGGCGGTGCCCTTATCTCGCTCACACATTCCACGTCATCAGGATATGGGCGGGGGAAGCCGGGACTGGAGACAACAGCGTGTGGGTGCGAATGAGACAACTGAATTGTCTCGTTGCACTGGATTTTTGAAGCTGTATAAGGGTCTGTAACAAAGATAAAAGTAGAATAAGAAGACGCAAGAAGACCCAAGAACCACTGGGAAACCTATATAACTATAGGACTTCTGGAACTCCTGTGGCAAATAAGGTTGATGGTAAGCAGTTATCGGTAGAGACAAATTTGAGTGGCTTTAATCATGGCACTATTGCTTTGATAAATAACTCTATGCCTGCCTCGGGCCTATCCCAGGGGAAATGACTTACCCCCTTCAATCGCGGTGTGGCGTCTGATTCTATTCAGGTACTCACCGAGGCAACCATGCCCAGTGAGTACCTGACGACCTCCCGCTTACCTACCCAATCCTATGAACTATCCTACCACTTAATTCAACTGTTTCACTAGTGGCAGATCATTGCGACTTTGATTTGTTTTCGATTCAGTAGAAATCACCCGGATTCAGAGACCTATCAATATTTTTGAAGCACTCTGATTATTTCTGTTTCTCTGCCACGGATCATGTGAATTCTCTCTTACAGCAAATAAGAGGTGTTTGAAGTTTTAAAACAGTTTCCAAATATACGACATTCATTGTTGATTCTCAAACATACCAAATGTAAAATAATATTGCTACCGACTTCAGTGTAACCGAGCGTGCACACAATACGGCCCAAACTTTCAATAATATTGCGGAGGACACATAGCACACATTGATATTTTCCAAATATCAATATTCTACATTTATGTCATATAAACTCAAACACTTTGTATGAATAAAATTGAAAATATATAATTTTCTGACGTAGACAACACAAAGGATCGTCAAAACTTTATAATGTAGACTTATTTCGATATGCTTTGTGTTGTTTTCAAATAAAAGTTTGCAGTATTTGAGGACGGTTGTTATTGATCGAACGAGTTGTTGGTCTATGTTTGTATGTACTTTTATATGTAATTAAAGTTGTTATTAAAGATAACAGTGTCCTGTCCAGATGCCGCGTTATAGGTACAGGGCCTTAGGACAAGTTTTTTTAAATGCATGTTAAATTATCCTGTTATGTTATATTATTATCTAAGGTCACCGACATAGCCTACCAAATCAGCAAGCTGAAGTGGCAGTGGGCTGGCCATTTTAGCCGCAGAACCGAAAACCGTTGGGGAAAATGAGTTCTTAAGTGGAGACCGCGTCTCGGCGAACGTAGTGTAGGACGCCCACAGGCTAGGTGGAGTGACGATTTGCGCAAGATGCTTGGCAGGAGCTGGATGCGAGAAGCCCAAAATTTATCCAAGTGGCGTGCAATGGGAGAGACCTATGTCCAGCAGTGGACTGCGATAGGCTGATGATGATGATGAAATTATCTGTTGGGGTCCGAGAGAATGAGGTAGAATATTTTTAATATAATATTCTGACAGTGTGAATATTTTTATCTTTTTATTTAATACTAGCTGGAACGAAGTACGTTCGTGTGTCACTGTTCGATTCGAGGGCCGGGCAAAACTTTAAAGGGTTTTTCTGAGATATTTTTTTTTTACTTCTGCCGTGTACGAATTGCATACACTTTTATGGTAAACAAGCAGACGGGTCACTGGTTTATGGTAAACAAGTCAGCGCACTTGCAACTCAAGGGTCAAAAATGCTTTGCGTCTCCCCACCCAGAACCAGGAGGAGAGTGGAATCCGATAACCTCACTCCCTTCCTGAAAAAACCGTGTACTCAAGTCTAGAGTCCCTTTCAGCTGTCAAAAAATCAAACTTCTAAGTTAACGTAAAAAAAATATACAGCCGTTTATGCCGCAAAATCGCATATTTAGACACTCTCAAGGGAATTAAAATTTATAGGGTACTTCTCGTGGACCCAAAAATATTAAATTTGGCAAGTTAACATCGTCTTATACTACAAGTACAGGGAAAAATCTGAGAACTATACATTTATTTTTATCTAATATATAAAATTCTCGTGTCACGGTGTGCGTGGTTGAACTCCTCCGAAACGGCTCGATCGATTTTCGTGAATCTTAGCGTGCATATCGGCTAGGGTGGAGAATCGGACAACATCTATTTGTCAATTTCCTAGAAATAATGTATATGGCAAAAAAACCTTTGCCGGGTCAGCTAGTTTATTTATATAAATTAATGCACAAGTGTACAACTTAACAGGCGGGCTTAATGCCTAGGGCATTATCTGCCAGTTGACCTTTGGGTGATGTAGAAAAATTATGCGGTAGGTGCAAGAGAAAATTTTACTTCATTTATATTAAATATATTAATTTAAGATAAATCTAACTTACATATATACACTATATACTATCAATAAACATTTGTGATTAAATCTAAAAAAAATAGTCTTTATTTAAGTACGAAATCAGTCAAGGTACAAATTTATTTAGAAAACACAATAATATAAGTAATTATCGGTTTTGGAAACTGAATTTAGGGAAAAGCTCGACAAAACCTGCAAAACTCGATTCCTGAACTATTTTTAATGTGTACCTACAAATTTGTATTGTATTGAGGTCGAGTCGACTCGGCGAGTCCGACTTGCACTTGTCCGGATTTTGCTTAATTATTTTTGATTGATTTTACCATTGATGCAATTTGTAATGATGATTGAAAATTTTTTGCGTGTCAATATGACTAAACGTTAGCACTTATGTCTTCTATATCAACTTATGTACAACGTTTAATGTCAAATAAACTATTATATTCTGTTCTGTTCTATTCCATTCCATTCCATTCGATTCCATTCCATTCAACTCAATTCAATTCCATTCCATTCCATTCCATTCCATTCCATTCCATTCCATTCCATTCCATTCCATTCCATTCCATTCCATTCCATTCCATTCCATTCCATTCCATTCCATTCCATTCCATTCCTTTCCTTTCCTTTCCTTTCCTTTCCCTGCCTTTCATTCCATTCCAATCCATTACATTCCATACTATTCTATTCTATTTAACTCTACTCGATTCTATTCTATTCTATTACTGCAATCCTGGTCAAAATCGATTCAGTAGAATGGTGTATATTACTTGATCTCTATTTAAACCGATATCCACTCGCAAGCCCTGTTCACTCGCTAATACCGATATAAAATGAAAGCATTTCAACCCTTAACCCAGTTTATTTATGAGATTCAGTCCTTTATATTTTATATCATTCGAATGACTTAATTTAGGCCAAGAGTAGACATAACTTTTAATAATGAAATCAAATGTAAATACGTACACCTTTTTCTATAAAACGTTCGCGAGGCCTTCTTTTAAGATTCGTTTGGAAGCAAGTTTATGAGAGATATCCGTAGTTTTGCATAACTGTATTTTCTTGGTGTTATTTTCTTAAGGTTACAGGAGTATTAGGCTTGTCCCCTATTAGGGAACTAGGATTAAAATTATAGTCGATAATATGGAGGCATTTAATACTGCTTTTGTTTTTTTTTAGTTTTCAAAAGACGACTCCCGCATTATGCATGTATCCTGTGTCACGGGGGACTTAACAAATATACATGAAACGGACACAAAGAACACCCAGACTCAGATCAACAATTTGTGGATTAAAAATATATTAAAAAATATAAAATGAAAGCATTTCAACCCTAAACCCAGTTTATTTATGAGATTCAGTCCTTTATATTTTATATCATTCGAATGACTTAATTTAGGCCAAGAGTAGACATAAGCGCGCGGAGCCTGCAGAGACAGAACAGCACTGCAGAGAGAAGGAAAACTTGACACAAACCCAATACCAACCCGTCTGGCCAGCGTGGTGTAGTAGGCCAAAACCTCCTTTCTAAGGAGAGGCCTATGTCCAGCAGTGGACTAGTAAAGGCTGTTGATGATGATGATGATGAAAAATATATTTGCAAGATTTGTTTTTACTACTTTGTCGGCGTGATCAGTATGTATGTTTATGAGAAATCACAGGTTTCTAACACTTATAGTCTTTGAGATATAGTGTGGAAAGCCGGACGGGCTTGACGAAAGTATAAAGGACGAGACGTTTTTGCCAGTTTGGCTGCGGACTGTGTTTTTGTGTGTACATACTAATGCAATATCTTCGCCATTTGTAAACTGATTTCAATAAAAAGAATTTTGTCGTAGGTCGTATTCAAGGTTAACTAAAATCCGACCTTTTTTCCCAAACTAGGTTTGGGGTCGGGGTCTGCTTCGATACGGCTGAACTTCGATTTTTACACGCTTTATATTAGCTTCACTTGTATGTTTGTATGTTTGTTTGTAACCGACTCCTTTGGGCGTGATTTTGACTGACTTTAAACGGTCAGAATTCGTTCAAACTTTGTAGATATATCAATATTAAGACAATACACTAATTAAAAAAAAATAGTTTTAGAAAACTAAAAACACGCTTTTTATAGAAAACCAAACTAAAAATTAGAAAATAAATTTTAATAATTTGAAAAAAAAGCTTGAGATGCTTTTTACAATTGACAACAGGTACCCTATAAAACGCGTGTTTTTTAGTTTTTTTAAAACTATTTTTTTTTTTCGAGTGACTGTCATCAGACTTCCACAACCCAAGTACTAGGCGATATAGAAGTTCTGTAGAAAGACTGTAAGTTGGACTGTTTAGGTCTTCAACTACCTGATGACTACAGATGTTCGTATGGCAACCGGGGCCAATGTCTTCAAGTACTCCCCGAGGCGCGGAGGGGTCTCAATGTGGCAAGAATGGTCACTCATCCATAGATTTGCCTGGATAGGATTGCTTAACGTTGCAAAGTGTCTGTTACCACTTAGCCACGAGCCCTGCTTATTTAATCTTATATATAAAATTCTCGTGTCACAATGTTCGTTATACTCCTCCGAACCGGCTGGACCGATTTTTATGAAATTTTGAGTGCACATCGTCTGTCTGTCGGTAGGTCTGAGAATCGGCCAACATCTATTTTTTATACCCCTAAATGACAAGGGTGACCCACCCCTAAATTCTTTTTTATAATAAAGAATATTTAATTTATAAGAAATAATGTATATGGCAAAACAACGTTTGCCGGGTCAGCTAGTATTATTATTAATAAATAAGTAATAAATTAAAAATATTATTCTATAAGGATAGACAATCTCAACGAAGTCTTCGATAAAAGTATTTTCGACTTTCTTCACATTACGTTCGATAGCCGCGTGTTTTATAACTTGTTACAAGTAATGGTATTCACGAAGCCCTGCTTTCTCTTTCTAATCACCTCCTTATAACAGTGACGGGTATGTTGGTCTAGTGGTTAGTGACCCTGACTGCTAAGCCGAAGGTCGTGGGTTCTATTCCCAACCGAAATACTGAACGCGGTCACCGTGACGGTCGAGTAGCACTTGGGCATCTGATACTAAGTAATTTAACTGACCTGTAGGTCTAGTGGTTAGTGACCCTGATTGCTTAGCCGAAGGTCGTGGGTTCTATTCCCAACCGCAATACTGAACGCGGTCACCGTGACGATCGGGTAGCGCTTGGGCATCTGATACTAAGTAATTTAACTGACCTGTAGGTCTAGTGGTTAGTGACCCTGATTGCTTAGCCGAAGGTCGTGGGTTCTATTCCCAACCGCAATACTGAACGCGGTCACCGTGACGATCGAGTAG